TCCTGCTGAGTGGGCTGGCAGCATGTTGAGGGGGGCAGGGGGGGAGGTGGCACTAAGCCACAGCACAGAAGTATAGGAATGGATATGGGGCTTTTGGCCCACTCAAATTGTGCCCCCCGACTCAGGAAGCACCAGTCACCCCTGCTTGCGAGGGACTAAATGTGATAGAGCAATTTTTCTTTTTCCTGTAGGTGAAGAAGGTTGGGGCAGAGTAGTGTAGCCTCTTTTTTTAGCTCTCTTCCCACTATAGCCGGGGGAGTAATCTACTTGTTAAAGCACAAGGAGAGCTGGGACTAAAGGTCTGGGTAATTAAAAATGCATCTAAACTAAGGTCAAGATTTGACCATAGCATGGGTGGACATACCCTTGCTGGCTTTAAACTAGCTAACTGGCATTCCAAGAACAGCCTAGCCATAGCAGCACAGAGCACAGCAAGAGCTGCGAAACCTGTAAAAGAAACGGTACAGAATCTAGTGCTTAGGCCATGTGGCTATCAGTATTTGAGCTCCTTTGAAGCTAACTTGGGTGTGTCTGAATGAGCTGTAGCCCCACCTTTCACTGCAGGGTAGACAGGCCCTGCCCTCAGTTAGCAGACTGGGATCACCTGCTTTCAGGGAGCAGAAGGGAGACTAGGAATCTATCTCTGACAAACATCCTTCTATTTGATGGTAGACTTCAGAGGGAAAGAAGGTGATAGCCTATTAAGGCTTTTTAAAGATAAATGGCAGTGCATGCTGGGAAAGTGGATGAAGCTGGAGTTCTTAAAATACAGACTGTCTTCTTTGTGTAGCTGAAGATAAGGAAATGTAAAAGGGGAGCATGAAACAATGAGATAGCTAAAGAAATTATAGGGGGAAAGAGGTGTTTACTACTATGCTTTCTGCTAGTTACTGTGCTGTGTATGCTCTTTCAATATATGCTGTTTTTTTGCTTTGAAGATTTGAGTGTCTATTTGTTTTCTTACTGTTGTATAGTATATAATACAGGGGTTGACAGCCTGTGGCCCATGGAGCCATGGTTTTGGCAGCATTTGGGGGGTGTGCTTTACCTGTGCTGCACTGCAGTCAGCTGCCTGGGCTTTGACAGAGGGGGAGCTCTACCCATGCTATGGGCTGCAGTTGGGTGATGTGGGCTCCAGTGGACGGGGACTTTTGGTGTGCTATGCTGCAGCTGAGCGATAGGCTGAACCAGTGACAGCAGCCGAGTCCTAATGCCTGCGTGTTTTCAACCCAAGCTGGGTCATCCTGGCCTCCCTGCTTGAAAATTTTGCCAATCCCAGTTCTGATTTTAAGGAAAATCAGAGGGTGCTGACAAGTGACATTTTGTCATGAGATTGGCTCCTTAAAAGAGCACTACATCTGTGCCCTGACAGATGGCACAGCAAATTAACCCTCATATGATGAAGGTTCGGATGAAGGCACTCCAAAGCAGAGCACCTTCATTAACTTCTGATGCAGCCCAGCCCCACCCTGGTGCAGTCTGCTCCAGTCCACCTCCCCCTCCCCCCAGCACAGGCTGGACAAACCCCAACCTGCAGCTCCCCGCCTCCTATCCTGCAGACAGTCTGGGATGGGGAAGGGGGGTGGCCGGGACTAGGGGAGAGAGGCTGCAGAGAGGCAGGTACCTCCTGGGTTGGCTCCAAAGTGGAGCTTGATTTCCCACCTAACAGTGAACATCTATGAAACGCCATTAGTTACAGCAGGAAGATGCATGTCTGTCAGTGCCCTCTGTTCAGAGAATGATACAGCATGGTTTAGTTCAGGGGTGGGCAAAATGCAGCCCACGGGCCAGATGCGACCCGCCAGGCCATTCTATCCGGCCCGTGGGGCCCC